CGGGATTTAATACCTCCACTGTTTGGCAAAGCGCTCATCTCAAAGAAAAACACTCAAGTGCGTGTGTATATAGCAAAGCTGAGAGAGAAACTTTAATTTAAAGCAAACACTAGAAAAAGAAAAGCAGGCAGCAAAAACAAAGGGAGGAAAAACAGGGGAGAAGGAGGAGGTGGGGAGGCAGAGTGAAGGGGTCACTTTGATAAATTTGAGTGAGATTTGTGAGAACAAAAGACCAAAGCATCAGGTGAATGACCTTGAAATTCAAAAAGAAAGTGAAAGAAAATAGACTGAGAAAGTGAACTGGGAGGTCAAAGAAAGGCTTGAAAACGAGAAGGGAGTTTAGGTGGATGTGTGGGGGAAGGAAGGGACAGCTGGAGGAGGAAAATGGAGAGGCGAGAAAGGAGGAGGGAAAAAAAGTGGGTAGCTGAGAGATAGAGCTGTGGAAGATAAAGTGAAGGGGAGACCCGCTGAGTTCCTGGAATGTACTGGTGGGTTTGTCCAGAGGGAGGCTGTTTGTAAAAGGGCATTTGTGGGCTATGAAAGTGTGTGTGTGTGTGTGTGTGTGTGTGTGTGTGTGTGTGTGTGTGAGAGAGAAAGCAGTGTTTTCATCAGTGTGGGATTGTTTAGATTTGGTCTAATTGAGGTGTGTAGGTGTTCGCTGTGGTTTCGTGCACGTTCAGACTCGTACTTACCGTCCCTTGGACTAGCGAAGGCGCGGTTTATGATTATGGATAAATAATTGACAAGGTTCCCTGAGCAGAAACAACACCTACATGTGTGCAGCGGCCATTAGTCTCTGAGCTTTCGCAGAATGACGGGAGGGGGGGTTCTGGAGATGGAAAAGAAGAGAAAACTGCAGTGGCCCTAAGAGCTACACATGTTGTAACTTCAAAACACAGCAAATGAATCATCTTCACCAATCCTCCAACACATGCAGAAACACGCTGCAAATACATAAAAACCAACCAAATACAAATATGCTGCAAGATGTAAAGAACAAAATGGAACCGACACATATTTCCAGAGGATAGAAAGTGATGAACTCACCTGGACCTGCAAATGGTGGCCATGATTTCTTACTTATGCCATAACTGATGTCAACTATCTGTAACGGTTAATTTGCTGTTCATATAGAATGAACTAGATGCTTCTGTGTCGAAAGAACGACTTTCCAAATCAGGAAATGGGACCATGCAATGAGCATGTGAAAGCACTGTGAGCTGCTGGTTGCAATTTGCAACCCTCACCACTAGATGCCACTAAAACTTACTCACTAAACCTCCCTTTAAAACCCATGGGAGCGCCCGTTTGCCTGTGTCTGTTTAAGAGCATATAGAATGGTAACCACGTGGGTTGCAACAATAATTCTTTTTGCATACGAATTCTGAGATGTAACATGTTCGTATCAAGCCCCAGCATGCTCCTGTCGCGTTGTTTTCACCCTGTCTGCACAAATTGCGTAATGTGCGCTTACAACAAAAACACTCAAATACCTTGCGCGTCTTTGCACACATGTTCTATAGATCTGTGGTTGCTAGTTCCCTCTTCCTATGACTCACAGACATCTTCACATTCTCCTCCTCAGTCTATTGGTTCTGTCCAGTAAACACCAGGCTTTGTCGCATGTGGTGACGTCACAATGTGCGACATTCGACTTCCATTAGCTAACCAGGCACTGTTTTTGTCGTCTTTTTATAGTTGTATTCTGCTTAGTTCTCTCGCTCTTTCTCTCTCTCACTCTAGAATATTTAGAGTAGTGTATATTTAATAAGCTCTTTTGTTTTTTACCACTTAATTGTTTTATCAACATTGCTCTCAAAAGCAATTTGTTATCCGTTTCACTACACAGCTAAAAAGGCGTTAACTGTTTACGAAAATGAATGTATCTTACAAACTAATTTATGTACCTAGTTCAAATCAGTTGTGTGTTGTTCTAAAGTGTTTTATGCAAGTTTTTTGCACTGATAAGTCTGAGGTTGGCATTTGTTATATTTATGTATTTTGAAAAATTTATTGAAAAAAAAAACCGATTTGAATTCTTTTGGGTGTTTATTGCACTTTTCAGCTATTTAATGATTTATTAGTAATTTATTACATACATAGCCTTCAAATTGGGGATTGTATTGATGTATGGCATATGAAAATTCTTCAAAGATTGACAGTACAGCATGTAAAAATACTTGGCGGAATTGTTCTATGGCAGGTCATAAAGGGTTTTAAATCACCTGATAAAGTATGCACACTTAAAGCTTTAGCATAGGATACACACTATGTTAGTACAACAAAGTTTAGAAAAACTGTCTTCTGTGTGTTTGGGCGTGTTCATCAGTTTTAGTGTCCTCTGGACACGTCTTTGTTTTGCAACCCAGTTCTGTATTTTCAGCATGTTTTGCTATGATTCATGTTGTCAAATCGGTGGTAGTGTGTCCTTATTTCCCCACGTTTTATTTCTTTGCAGTGCGTTTTTGTAAATGCTGCGTATGTGTCGTACAATTAGTGAAGATGTTTTTTTTCTATCTGCATGCGTTTTCTTCAGTTGTTTAAAACCCTTCTATCTCATTGGGAGGAACACACACAGATACAGCGTGCTACCATAAAGTTTGGGAGTTAGAATAACACATGGCCGACAGAAGGAAACTATCATGCCAGTTGCGAATGCCATAAGTTTTCTCTGTGCTAACAGACACTGTAAGAAATCCTCCCCCAGGTCACAAAATCCAGGGCACAGACAAAAGCCTCCGCACCCCAGACATGCAGAACGGTGCTCCAACAACAGCTCCACAACAGCCTGCTGCTTTAGTATACCACTGCCACTTGACTCCTCTCCAATAGGATGCCTTGATCGCCTCAGCCCACAGCCAGTCAGTCAGTGAGTCACTCAGTCAGTCAGTCGGTGTGTCAGTCAGACAGACAGGAAGCTTGGGACTGGGTGAGGACTCAGAATCCATGTGGCAGCAGCATGCATGGTATTTTGTCTGAAGAGTTACAGGGAGGCTGACATGGAGGAAGCAGAGGTCACGGGGTCATGCTGAGGAGGACATGACAGCGCCTCAGCTGCAAGTTCGGGTCAGGATGGTAGAGGGGCGGCCTACCATAGCAAAATGTCACATGCAGTGATACTCTTCTTGCACCTTTACAGCAGGTGTACACGGAGAAAAGATCAATAATAATTTAAAAGAGGGCCAGGTCACCCAAATAACAAAAACATATTTTTCTTTAAGCCAAGGTGGTTTCCAGCCACGGAGACAGAGTTTCAGCATCAGTACTTATACAATACATTTTTTTGTGCCAAAGCTAATTCTTGACCTTGGAAATTTTAAATTTTGACAAAACTTACAGTAATGGCTCTTTTCTGTGGCTTTCAACTTCACCTTATGGTCTTTACAGAGTGGAATTTGCTCATGTTGCCATGTGGTTTAAATCAAAATATATTTTACAATGCCAAAAATGTAGAGAAATATAACCAGACTTTCCTACATAACCTTTTTTTTTTCTATTTAAAAACCGAAGTTCTCAAATGTTAAACATTGTATAAATACAAGACCTTTATCTACGTAACATACAAGAATGATTTACATTTCTGACCAGACATTCAGTACCAACGTTTAGTACTTGACTGCTTTTCTATACTCAGAAACATTTCGGTAGATATGAGGTTTAGGTTTGAGGTTGAGGTTTCAGATCCAGCCCTGGTTTCTCCATGTGCGTGCATGTTTTTAAGAGTCAGATCACCCAAAGGACAACATGAAATATTTACTCACTGACCCTTAACAGTATGTAGCAATTCAGACAATTTCAATTGTACGTGTTGATATTTTGAGTTCTCTCTGGAATGTCTACTGCCAAACTAATACAATGGAACTGTTTGTGGTGCTGGCAATATTGACAAATGACATGACAATGACACAACTCAACAGCAGTGTCTTTCTAAAAACAACCCGCTACTCTGAATAATCCATAACTATTTTCAAATAAATAGTGACAATGAAAATAAATGAAACTTAAGTCTATGGATAATGTTAAAACAATATAAGTTTTTCTACACTGAATAGTTTCTACAAAGAAAAATGTAATTTTTCAGCTCTGTGAGCACCCCATACAAGATTATTCACCTCCATTATTCTGGGAACCAATCTCTCTTTGGTTACACCAACGATTAAGACTGATGGGTCATAAGCCAAAAGGTTGGTAACCAACACTTGAAAACATGCACACACAGAAGAAGAAGAAACCGTCCCTGGTGTTGTATTTCTCTATTTATCAGCATTTTCTCAGATAAGCTTTGGCTGACATTTGAGAATCTTCTGATACAGAATCTGCGACCGGGACAAAAAATAAATGATGTGAAGATGGAAAAATTAAATGCATACAGTGCATCTGACTTTAGACACAACATTGATCATCTACTGTAGTTAATACCTTGTATTTGATGCATGGAGCAAACATGTAAAAGCTCCAGATCCCCAAAATGAATGAGTGTAGTTTTTTTTTTTACGGCTCTTGTAGTCATGTTGAGTTTGAAGCAGAACTCTCAGGTGCTGCTGTTGGTTCAAAAACTACAGCTGAACTTTAGTATTTAGTTCAGGCTGAAGAAGAGAGACCAACTGACTCCAGTCTAAAGCTTCCTGCCACAACAGATCCACTGTGATATTACGTTAAATACTACAGGACAAAAGATTATAGGAAACCGTAAAGCAGTTCTGATTTAAACCTCTTAACTAATGTTACTGTGTTTTAATGAAATGTTACTGTAGCCTCAGTATGATACGCAGCTGTGGTATGAAGGAAAACACTTTCTTAAAGCGAATATTGGATTAGATCCCTACTTTTAACTGCACCCTGTAACTTTCCAACAACAAATGTTAACAGTCACTTCACACAGAGGCTCTGTATGAGGCTCTGTGGGCACAGGCCCAGGGCTGCAGGGGTCAGGGGGTCCCTGGGCCTGTGCCCAGTGGGGCCACTCAGTAATCAATTCATGCTGTTATGGCAATACTCACGCTCTCCTTCTATTTTGTCAGGATTTCGGCTCCACACTATCTGCCGCATGTCCTGCTTTATCTGGAAGGTTCTCCTCTCGGGTCGCTGGGACTTCTTCTGGTAGAAGAGGGTCATCACCGTCCCCATCTCCAGGCTGTGGAGGATGCGGGGACCGGCCTCCGACCAGTCCAGCATCCTGGAGGCTGTGACCGGACCCACTGGCCCCACGGCTCCGCCGACGGCCTCCTCGGCACAGCCATTGAGGCAGCCACTGAACCTGGCTGCGCACATCTTCACTGCATAACTACAGAGGAAAGCTGTCCTGGTTTCTGGGTGAGGATGCGTGTCCTTTAATCACTTACTGAATGTGCCACTTATCCAACATGTCCAACCCACTGCTGCAAAGAAGAAGTCTTGTTATGAACCCAAAGTGTTCCAGTCACATACAGGTAGTGGGTTTCCAGTGTTCCAGTGTGATTAAACTTATGTCACATTAAAACACAAGCTAAAAGACTTTTGAGCTGAAATGTCTGAGATGTGAATTGTCCTCTGGAGGGGGAATGTATCCCCGTGTTATCCTTTCCAGATGCTTCTGGCAGCACACCAGCGAAATCCAGTCGGAGTGAGCTCTCATCACCGCTGGACTCAGATTTCCACCCACTATGTGTCTCCTGCTAGTCCTTCAATCCACGACGGCAAACGCAGCACAGTCCGGCTTTAAATCCAGTTTGGGTAGCGTCCGCCTGCATCCCACTCCTGGTTTTAGGAAAATAAAGTCAAAGACGCCGAGTTATGTAATGACGAGTCGGACAAATAGCCGGAGGTGGGTGCAGCGGGGCGGCAAGGAGGAGGACGGGCATCGGCGGTCGCTCTGTGGCGGCTTCACGGAGACGCAGAGACGCGCGGACGGGAGAGCACGGAGCAGCCGTATGTGCGCTCTCATCCGCCGAACCATTCTGCTCTCCCCTCACACACTCCTCCTTCCAGGACGCATCACCCCGCCGACAGGATGCATTGTCCGATGGAGTCACGTCTGGAGTAGCCGTACAGAGGCGTGCTGGGTTGTGCTGGTAGCGTTAATTACCCCAGTTCCCCCTTGCTGCTCCTCACGCAGGATCGCCCTCTCTGTGCCTGCGCGTCCCCACAGCTCCAACGCCAGAGATCTTGAGAGGAAATTAGGGCTAGCAGACCGGAAAAGCTTGATCAGATTTTTTTTCCCTTTCTGTCCTGTTAGTATCTGAGGGAGGATGAGGGGAGTGGAGGGAGAGTCGTAGCGGAGAGCAGAGCGACCTCCGCGGGTCTCCAGGAGATCTGCAGCTTTGGAGGAAGGAAAGGAGATTTTTTTCTCCAGCGCTGAGGTCTGAAATACAAGTTGATGAGTGAAGAGGTCAAGTGGGGTTCAAATCACAGAGGTCAATAACATGTCAGGCAGTCATCTGCAGCAATAAATCATTTATAAAAAATGATTTACTTTGGGAAGTTGTTTTCTTATTGTTAGTTGCTAGATTAGATTTCTCCAACATAAAAGAAACATAATAATAATAATAATAATACTAATAATAATAATAGGCCAAACAAACAATCTATACTTGAGTTTGTATTTTTTCCAAGGTCAAATATTATAATATTCTGAATAAAAACTAATTAATAGAAAGTTGATCCAGTGTCCTGAAAATAAAAATTGAAGCTGACAGAGAAATATAAAAAATAAAGTTCAATGAGCAATATTTTCACACCTATCAAAAATCCCAGAAGGCATTTTAATAAATTTATAAATCTGAAACTTTGCTGAAAAGATTTGTGAATGTCTTCCAAATATAATATATTCTTATCCACAGTTTGTATTTGATAAAGCCTAATATATGTATATATAATGTTTGCAACAGAAATAACAGTTTTGTTAAAACTGTTGACTTGTTGTGGTTGCATCTTTGTTTGCAAACATGCAGCCTAGTATAGAGTATGAGGAGCTGGATACCATATTGTGGCAGACAGATTTTACTTTAACAAGAGAGTATTAATATACTCCTTTGTCTGTTTTATTATTTATCTAAATGTATTTGTCATCGAGCCAGACAGGGGGGCAGACATAGGGATGGGGGACAGAAACACCGCACAAACAGACGGCACAGAGAAAGGACCACACCTGCAAGAGAACAGGGGGGGGGGGGGGGGGGGGGGGGGACAACAGGGAAATGGCAGGAGGAAACACCAATTGCAGAAAGCAACAAAACGAAGAGAATGGGGAGCGGGGCCTGGGGCGGAAAGAAAAACAAACAACAAACAAATAAACAAACAAAAAACAAAGACACAACCAGCCGAACAGCAGCAATAAACAGCTGACATGAGGAAGACAACTGAGAGAGAAATGGAAACAATAAACAGTCAAGCAAAATAAATAAACAACATAGCACAGCCATGAGAGCTGGAATAATAACAAGTAATTTAAGTAACTGAAAGAAAAGCATCAGGAATAATTCTACCAGGGACAACCTTAATTTAGCATATTGTGGTTAAGTACAATATGAATGTACTTTCCATTTACTTCACCTCAACTACACTTCAGAGGGAAATATTGTTTTCAAAAAAACATTGGGTCCCAGTACATATCATGTTGTATTTTGTCTAAAATTGGATCAGTGGACTAGTTCCATGCGGTTTTTCATGTAAGGTCAATTGTTATTGATTAAGAATACAATGATACTGGCTTCTAAGTTGTTGTTTTTTTTTCTTCACAGTTTGGGTTCAAGAGGTGTTGTTCTTTCAACTTAGATATAAAAAAATAACATACATGTTTTAATAAAAAACATATATTTCCAAAATATTTCAAAATCTATTTAATCAAATGGTGTTTTTTGATCAAAATTGTTAACATTTGTACAATAACTTAAGGGTTTATGTGTGTCCCCAGCAAACACTGTCCACCCTGTTGAGCTGCATTACTGTCCCTTTAAGAAGAAAAAATATATATTTTTTAATGGTATATCTCGTGAGGTGACCAGGCGACATCACACCAGTGCTGTGTGGTTTTCTAGCTCTCTTATTATCTGGTATTTAGTTGATTAGTTGATCTGAAAATTAAACTGATACTGGTTTTAGTTATTTATCAAGTAAAAAGTCTATAAAAGATATTGTTTTTAAGGTTTGGTACTTTTATATCCTTGTAAATTGAAAATGGACTGTTGTTCAAACTGATTAAGGAATATGAATATGTCATTTGGCTCTGGGAACTTGTAGTTGGCATTTTTTTAAATGAATTTTGGACATTTGTTAAACATATTAATTAGTAGAATAAGTGCCAATGAAAATAGTTGACTCTATAATTATAACTTTTAAAAGTTTTCCTTTTTACTTCACCACATTTATTTTGACAGCTAGTTAGTTTGCAGATAGGGATTATGCATCTTAGAAAATACAAATGACTAAATTGTATTCAGTTAGCTTCTCTTCCACCAGCTAAAACATTAAAATTACTTACATCTTGATGCATAAAGAACAATTCAGTAATTCTTCTTCTAAGTACGTCTTCCAACATTGAACATCAGTTTCTTTCTGTTTACAAATAAATAAAACTTCAATAATGTGCTTGAGCAGAAATCCACATCTGCTGAGGCTGTAATAGGACAAACATCTGAAGGCTCTGAGTGAGAGTGGACTGTGTGAGATTCACGCCGAGCGTTGACCACGTAAGTGACAGGAGACAGATGACATCACAGCCTCTCCATGTCTAATCAGCTCCATATGTCTGCTGGGTGTAAACCAATGACCAACAGGCAGCCAATCACACTTCTCCTCACATGTCCTGCAGCAGAAAGGCAGTGGAGAGAATTGTGGAAAATAGTTTTCATGACAGAGTGGAGAGAAACGAAGAGGATGGTGTAACTCTTCAGTCAATCATCCTGAGTTGGATTTCAAGTCCAAACTAAATTACACAAACAGGACAAGAGCAAACATCACAGGAAAACTACTCGCTATCAGGTTTTTTTTCTCCTGCCTTTAAAATTCAAAATATAGCCTCTAAATGAACTGCAAGACGTTTTAAACACCAAAAAAATGTACCTAGAACAAAATGATTGTGGCTTATGAGCGATAACTTGATAGCAGTATTTTCTGATGGCACGTTTTGTTAGGAGTAGGACAATCATGGTAAAAATGAGTCCGGTTTTGTAGCAGTTTGAATTGTAATCTGCTGGACTTCAGAATTTTTTTTTTTACACTACCACTGCCTGGGCACCAATGTTGAAAAGTTTCAAATTCTAGACACGGTAGCTTTAAAACAAACAGCAGCTGAAAACTGCACCAACAAGAAAGTGATAAACTGCAAAAGTAGCATTATTTCAGATGTTTTTTAAAAGAATTGGTCAATATACAGAATACTGGCAGAAATCTAAGGTGCATTAATAATTTTTGGGGCAGAAAAGCTCAATAAAAGCTGAAAAACACAGCACAACACATATTAAGTTGTTCTGGTTGCTGTGTTAGCTGTAGTGTTAGCCGATTTACACATCCAGCAGACGTGGAGCAACATTATCATCCAATTGGACTTGTGTCCTAATGTGCTCTCATTTGTAGCTCAGCTTTTGGTCTCCACCAACTCCTGAGGGAAATATCTGGCTCTTTTGCTGCTAAATGCTACACTATGTTCACCAGCTCGTCTGTAACTGTAACCTACAGCTGCAGTGTGCAGTGGGCATATCAGATTTAGCAGCTTTAAGTTTAAATATAGCCGTGGCGATCGGGGGCCAAGCAAGTTGTACTACTAGTTGACTACTGGGTGAAATGTTCAACCCACCTGCAACATTTTATGTTTCCAAGATTTAAAGTTTAAGACAAACACTTTTAGGCAGAAAAAATTAAGAAGAAAGTTTCACGGGATCCAAATAAAACAAACAGAGGCCTCAGACTCACTATGATCACCTGGAGATCTGAAGCCTGGAACTTCAGATCTCCAGGGCAGGCGACTTACTGACTGAGCTACTGGTGAGAGGCTGTTTCCACACGCCTTCTCACAAGTTGAGGTAGTGATGTCACGTGCCAGATAGTTTTGCCAGTTTAAGCTTAAAACACTTACAACAGTCAAAATAAGGGTGATACAATTCTGAAAAAAAATCACACATCATTCTGCTGGTTTTGTTGTCAGTTATTTTGGTTGCATTTGATCCAAAACTGAGCAAAAAAGAAAATGTTGTGCAAACAGTAGAAGTTATAGCAAGATACTAAATATCGCTGCAGACTCACCGTTTGACCGATTTAAAAACCCTTTGAAACACTTGATATCGGCCATTTAGAGAGTGTCTGTGTTGATTTTGGTAGGGTTTGAAGAAAGACTTGTGGAGATACAGATGTTAATTGAATAAGCATATTCTGAAAAATATAAAGTGACTGACTTCTGAATTGACCATAGGTTGCAGTGAGGCAAAAGTTAGTCACAAATCAGTGGATGTGCTGAAATAATTTCAACTCTCCAGGACGTACAGGTGATTGTCTTAGATTTTTTTTTGAAGTTTGGAATGAAAAATGTCTAGAAATTTACATTTGTTGTAATAAGCCGCAATGAGTAGTGACCCGAGATCGTTCAAACCAAATTTTTTATGAATCCATCCAGTGAATTATGATGTATGAAACTTTTGCAAGTGTAGCGCCCCCTAGTGGAAGAATATCCCAGGACTGCTCAGCGAAGCTCAGACCGATCATCTGAGCAGACTCGTCAAGTTTGGTTACAATAGCTTAAGCCAATTTTGATTTACGGGCATTTATGTAAAGTAAAAAAAATTTATGAAAAAAGACAAACAGATTGATGTATCAAAATTCTTTCGATAACATTTGATCACCGACGTCCGTAGATGATCCTACCAAAGTTTTAGGTCGATGAAACTGAGACGAGTTCGCAAAATTTAAAGGTGATTGTTATTGCGCCACCATGAGGTCTATGAGCACCATTTTTTTGCCTGAGCAGTAGGTGGGATTTGCAGCCTACGCGCCAATTTTGTGAGTTTTCGTCCAGCAGTTTTTGCTGCCCAAACACTTTTAGCGGAGAAAAACAAGGAAGAAAGAAGAATGACAACAAAAACAACTTTGCTGCTTGGATCCCTAATTATTAGTTCATGTTGACATCTGGGTCAGTTTCACATACATGGTTAAAGGCTTTGAGTTACAAATTAAAAACTTCTGTAATCTTTTGTATTTCAATCAATTCATAATTCTTTCTCACACCAACAATCACAGACATTAATGATCTATGGAAATTAATCTCAACTCAAGGTTTACTAGCTTTTTCAGTAGATTTCAACTGTATCTTGTTGCCTTCCTCTGAGTTTAAGTGAACTTTTACTTTAGCAGAGCTATAACCATGTCAAAGAGCACACTCCATTTGCTGAGGACGGCTGCCACATGTGGTTGAAATCTCCTGAAAAAAGTGAGAGGTGGATCTTGAGTTAAGATCTCTTTTTGTTTCCAAGGTCAAAAAAGAAATTTTACTCTCAATACTCTCAAAACTTTTTTCAGAGATCGGAAAACATTACAGACTTGTTGTCTAATATTATTTAGTTTTCACACACTTATTGTTCAATTTGAGAGAATTAACAGGTTGCAATTTTGTGATTTGATATTTTGCAGGGAAGATCACAGACTGTGCCTTTAAACCAAAAAAAAAAAAAAAAGAAGGAGAGAGAACAAAGGTCAGGGCCATTTAATAGCTTATCTAGATGTCCGCATTGATCTGTGTGACCGACTGTGCTCCACAGTTACATGAGTCATCAGTTTAAATAGCTTAGCAGCTTCTTTGCTGAAGCGACCAAAAAAAAAAACACAGTTTCCAGCAGAAAATAAATTCATGAAGTAAGACGGATGCTCTGATTTCATTTGCTTCCATCTGTCCCCGTTGGGCTTCTTGTCAAGTGCTGTTCATTGTAAACACATTAGCTTTCAATGGCCACAACACGTTTGTGTATTCCCGTATTTAGACAATACAGTGTTAAAACTTCAGCACTTCGGAAAAGAGTGTCAATAAAAACACAAATAAAAAAAACAAGAGATGACAACAGAACAGTTGTCTCGGATTGTCTTTAGTTTGCTAAAAAGTTTCTGTTGTTGGAGCTTTCTCTTTGAATCTCTGTGACCAGGTTGTGGAGTTCCTCCGACAGCGCCACCTGGTGGGGGAAAACAACACAGATAAGGGGAAAAAATCTTACATAAGTATTAAGTGTCCTTTCTGAAATGCGGCTTCCGTGTCTGTGGGAAGGTCTGAATTTCTCTGTATTAATGTCTCCAGTACAGATTTTGTGTTTGTGTGTGAAACTCACTGTGTAAGAGTCTGGCTCCTGCAGCCTCTTATGTCGAGGGTGCAGAGTCTGGAGGGAGACCTGGACCTTTGCTCTAGTTTCTGCGGCGCTGCACAGAGGGTGTGTGACCTAAAAAAAGAGTGCGACACACATTCAGAAAGACTAAACGCCTACATAAAACAAGGCAATATGGTCTTGTGCCTCCCAAAATGTACTTTGTTGTAAAAAATAGTTATCAAATCTGTCTTTTAATTAAGTTTTGTAATTTTTTTTATTAAGATTCTTTTTGGTTTGTAAGGCAGAATAATAGATGTTATTGTTGTTGTAAGCAACTGTGGTTTATTGTTATTTTAGATGCTCTGCACACGATCAGTTAAACAATTTTATATATTTTGCTTCTGGATGACTTCTTGTGCTTTTTTTTGTGTAGGTGCGTTTTTCCTGCATTTCCTTTCTAAAGCTGCCACATAACACCCTTGAACTCACTGCTTTCAGATGTGGTTTATGGTATAAGTGTAGCGAAAGGGCAGGGAGCAGAGAATCCAAATTGCAGACTTTATGGGTGCGTCCTCCACATAAAGTCCAGAGTGTCTACTGCTGTCTGATATATTAAGTCTTTATACAGACTTCCAGTCCACTTCTGGTGTATAATTCACCAGACTTTGCTCAAATGAACAACAGGCATCATGAAGCGGCAACTAGTCTACTGATATAGGTTATGGTTTGAGGATCACAGCCCATGCTCACTTGTCCTTTGGTAAACACTTCCTGACGCAGGCAGGTGACCTGAGCTGGAGTGACTGAGACAGAGGAGTTATCACTCCCAAGAGGGTAACAGCTCAGGGGGACTCCGGCCTCTGGAGGAGACTCCACCGCGAGACACACCAAGTCCTGAAAAGGATGGCCTGCAAACGAGAAAGAGTGAGAAGAGTGAGAAGCTGTAATGTGTGCAGCCACACTGGAAGCCCTGCGAGGCTGTAATGCTCATTATACAGGAGGAAACCAACGACCCATGTTGCTACTCTTACAGCCTACCACTTCTGAAGAAAGTAATGGGAAATTTATGACGAGGTTGGTGCCGATAGAAAAGCCATTGTGTTACATAAATCAGAAGGGTTTATTTTCCAAACAGGACATCTAAACTTGTTGGGCTCAGCTCCACACTGTCAGAGTTGGATCAGTCTAAGCTGTACTTGCTCATCAGAGCATCACGGGTGGGTGAATAAGAAAACAATCTATATATGTACTATGTCAGTTCTTATCCTAAAATTGTCTAGAAAAACAACAGAACATTGTTAATGGATAAAAATATGTTTGTTTGTCAGAAACCCAGCAAAATAAATTGCAGGAAAATCTTGAGATCATATGAAAATCTAATTTTGCCTTAAAATTGCCAAAA